TATTTTCATTACACAGTAAATAAAAATCACTGCTAAAAATGCATTCAGGAAGCTGTGCTTACCCAGGGTGATGCCATTCGGCCACACAATGTTGTCTTTTACTAAAGTAGTGCGATCTGCACCGTTCAGCCCACTCTTCTCAATCTTAGCTTCTTCACCCCAGTCTGTCCAGTACATCAAACTAAAGAGGACACAGTAAAGAAATCATGAGGCTAAAGACAAAACGCACCAGTTCATGTCAAACTGACACTAATGTAAGGAAACGTACTCGCTGTGATGTCTGTTTAAACACTTACTTGTTTACTGGATCGACTGTGATGGCTCGTGGCTTGTCCAGGTCCGTTGCGATCAGGGTCTTCCTCATACCGCCATCCGTTGTTGCTACAGAAATAGTCTTCAAAACACTGTCAGTCCAGTAGATGTTGCCATGGATCCAGTCCACCGCAATGCCCTCTGGGGCCTCTATCCCACTTTCAACCACCACATTGTGGTGAGAGGAATTGCCAGCCACATCTATCATAGAGCTGTTTGGAGGAAGGCAAGAGTGGAGAGATTAATTTCATCTTCATCATGGTTCTTGAATGAGAGCCACTCCATACTATGCAAAATGAAGCAAGAAACTCATAAAGAAATGTAAAAAAGAAAGGACACAGATAAAGATTCTTACCTGTAGATTTTCTTCAGAGACAGGTCAGACCAGAAGATCATCTTGTTTGCCATATCCATGTCGAGAGCCACTGCGTTCTTCAGCTGTGGGATCACACGCACGTACTCGCTGCGGTCCACTGTCAGCTTCCTCACCTCGTGTTTGATGGTGAAGTACAAGGTGGGCACTGTGCCTGGTGGAGGCAGAGGAGGACAGTTCGGTTAAACTTGCTTGTCTTGTCTGAAGGTTGCGTCACAGGATCAAGCGTTAAGTGGGTTTAAGTGGGCTTTCTTTCTAACATTACCTGAATCAGCCTTGCAAGTTTTGGTCACAGGGTCAATCATATAGCCCTCTTCACAATCACACTTGTAGCTGCCTGGCAAGTTGATGCAGATCTGAGTGCAAGTGTCTGGCTCAGCACATTCGTCAATGTCTGCAGAATTGAAGAAGTTGGCTCATTTGTTTGTTTCTATTGTGCACATTGTTAAATGACATGTTTACAATCTGTCTGGTTCTTAAGAGGCAGAATTTTAAATGTCTCCGTCCGCTCACCTTCACAGGTTTTGTTGTCGGCCTTCAGCCTGTATCCAGCAGGGCAGGAGCAGTTGTAGCCAATCTTCAGATCGTTGCAGTAGTGAGAGCAGCCGCCATTTCCGGTCAGACACTCATTGTTGTCTGCAGAGACAAACAGGCAAAAAGCTTTCAAATAATATTCA